AATGCCCCACGACGGCAGCATCCCACACCTGCGTCCTGGGATGAGTGTGCAGGAATACGAGATCTTGAGCTTTGCCGAGTCAGGTCTGTACAGATCCCGCATCCCGTGGGCGTGGTGGGATGGGCCCTGGGGTGGGGGGCACAGAGGGAAGGAAGGTCTTACCTGGGGGAAGGAGGTGAGAGGTTTCCTTCTCTGCACAGGCATTTCAAAAGCTCTGCACAGGGACATCGTGCTCCTGCAAGCAATGCCAGGCTATGCGCCGGGCCAGTGGGCACGCTGCTATTGGAAGGACTGGCAATGAGAGGCTCCATATCCAGAACCTTTGCATCCATGTCCCCAGCTTACCCCAACCAGCTGCCCCTCGCCATGGGCAGGGGAAGCTCTGCTGAGGCTCTGGGGCCCCTCTCATTTACATGTGGGACATGTTGGGGCAAGGGAGTGGGCACAGGAGCAAGGATGGACCGCTGTATCTTGTGAATTTTGTTGTCCATTTCTGTTAAACCCTCCCGCTTGTGCTAGAGGTGGAGGAGTCAGATGGCCATGTTTCTCAAAGCATGATTTTAAGCCTAGATTCCCCATCAGCTCACAGGGTGTGGACTCAGGTCTCCAAAGCCCATCTGCTCCCCACACTCAGCTGTGTTTCCACTTCCTACCCGAAGTGGTGGGCTGCCACATTTGACTCCAGAATCAGCTGCCATCCTGGGAGGAGGGAGCTCCCCAAAATGTGCTAGGGGTCCTGACAAACATCAGTGGGAAAAGAGGATCCTGTACCCTGCGCTGCTCCCGTGGTCCCTGTCAGCCCTTCCTTCACAAGGAGAGGCGGCTCTGCACCCTCAGCAGCAGTGAGGGTGGGACATGCTGGAGCAATGTCAGGTGATGGTTCCAGCCATGGAAAGCAGAGGTAATCTTGGAGGTGCACATAGCGTGACTGCCTTAAATCCAAGGCTGGTTTACACAGCCAGATAACCTACTCCAAAATCCTCCAGCAGCTTCTCTGACAAGGGGGATGTCAGGCCAGGGAAGGTGGAAGCAAGCTGGGTTGCTGTGTTCAGCGCCAGGCCCGGATGCTGCTGCTTTAGAGCGGCGTAAGGAGGAGCAGCAGCCGTGCAGGGAGGTGGGGGCCCCTCGACACCTGTGTGTACTGCACCCTGCTCCCTGGTTTGGGTGTTCCTCCCGTTCACTCCGACATGGTGACCCTTGGCTGGAGGATTGTCCCCACCCCTTCAGCTCCTGACTCTGTTACCTCCCCCTTCAGCTCCTGACTCTGCTACCTGTTCTGTGCACAGGGTCCTCCACCTCTCGCAGCATTCGCCTGCATTTCCGCTTCAGCTGGGAGCTGGCTGGGAGCACCGACATCCTGCGAGCCACCCTCTACCTGTTCTGGACAGTCCCCAGCCCCAGATCGCACCCTGTTACCGTCAGACTCCTGCAGCCGGACCCACAGGGGCTGAACATGACCGTGGCCAGCGAGACACGACTGGACGTGCGGAGGGCTGGCTGGGCCACGCTGGACGTGGGCCCAGCTGTCCGCAGCCTCTTCAGCCGAGGGAGCCCGCGGCT